ATTCACCCGTGAAAAGGCGGTCGATCGCCGCACAAGAAGCTGCACTGTTCAATGGGAATTATCGATCAATTAATTCCCGTCAGACAGAGAACAGCCGCACGCTTGTTCGATTATGCGAGCGCGCTGTTGCGGCTAATGGAGTGTTAAAGAATCCCCGATAACGCCGGTCCGTTAGAAGTCACTGTGCCATTTGCAAAGTTTATCGCGCACTTAGCTCCCCCGACAATTGGTTCACGCAATGACAACTCTTCCGAGCGATAGTTTTTACAAGTTCACGGCTCGTTGCGCTGCGACGATCGTGCCTCGATTAGATCATTCTGGCTCGTGGAGCCCGACGAAATGTCGATGTTTTGCAGCGATAGGGAAATTCGGTCATGAATGTTCGATCACGAAGAGATATATAGTTGCAAGGATATTCAGTCATGAGAATATTCACGAAGATATTCGGTCACAAGAATATCCGGTCAAGAGAATATTCGATCACGAGAATATTCGGTCACAGGAATATTCAGTAACAAGAATATTCGGTCACAAGAATATTCAGTCACGAAAATATTCGGTCACAAGAATATTCAGTCACGAAAATATATTCGGTCACGAAAATATTCAGTCACAAGAATATTCGGTCACGAAGATATTCCACCACGAGAATATTCGGTCACGAGAATATTCGGTCACAAGAATATTTGGTAACAAGAATATTCAGTCACGAAAATATATTCGGTCACGAAAATATTCAGTCACAAGAATATTCGGTCACGAAGATATTCCACCACGAGAATATTCGGTCACGAGAATATTCGGTCACAAGAATATTTGGTAACAAGAATATTCAGTCACGAAAATATATTCGGTCACGAAAATATTCAGTCACAAGAATATTCGGTCACGAAGATATTCCACCACGAGAATATTGGGTCACAAGAATATTCGGTTACAAGAATATATATATATATATATATATATATTCGGTCATGAAAATATTCGGTCACAAGAATATTCGGTCACGAATATATTCACCCGCAGAATAAACGATGTAACGTCGAACCAAACGTTTCGCCAGAATGGAATGTCGCTAATTAATCGCCAATTAATTGAACTTCGAGCTTACGCACGCAGGGAAAAAATTTCACAAAAATTAGCCGACGTTGTTACAAAGCCATAAGCGATTTAACGATCACGAGAACGCACCAGGTTTTATTCGTTCAACTATGTATTTCACAGATCGAATCGTAAAGACTGTTTTTACCGAAATCAGTGCTTGTTCAGTGGAATCAATAACGAGCGAGCGATTAGCGTTCCGAGTCGTTCGTCCAATCTACATTTATTCAATTGGACACGATGCAATTTATGCGGTTTTGCTGATAAACAGTGCCATCAACTATCTTTTTTCTAGAGGCACATTCAATTATTTTCTTTCGGTCATTTGTATTATCGAACGGCGATGGTCGTTCCGACGATGATCGTTCCAACGATTTAATGAACTCCGCGCCGAGGTCCCGATAAATAAATAAATAAATAAATAAATAAATTGATCGATGATAAACGTAATTGGCTTTTATACTTCGTCGACGAAACGAAGACGACGTGAATTGACTTCTAATCGATCGCTGATTGATTAGATCTAGACGATTTTTATGTATTTCGAGTTCGCCGATTTCAAGGCGATGGCACCCACCGCGCCGCGCACCTATTCATCTCGGAAAAATATCGATCAGCTCCGGAAAACATTCCAGCCGACCCACGTGGTCGTGTAATATCGTCGGTGAATTGTAAATCGTGACGATTAGCTCGCGTTCGTCAGGCGGGTTTGATACACGGCGACGATGCGAAAAAAAGGTCCTCGATCATTTGTTACAATTTGCGTAATCAACGATTTCCGGTCATTTTCTATAACAGCCACGCTCGGTGCGTTTTTTTCCGTCCCCGGTTCGCGGAAAACAGCTTTGGTATCGATGCGACAAGATCGTTCCGGCGACGACGCGAACGCGATTGCCATACTCTCCTCGAACGATACGCGTTTTATTGTTTCGTTGCATTGTTTTGCGAAGTGAAACTTTTTCCGTCGCGAGATTCCGGGGCGAAAGATTCGAGCCGTTTAGAAAGAAATCTCGCGATTCGCGAGAAATACATCGTGGTTTGCGAATAATTATGCAATTTAGCTTCGTGATTAGCGAATTTTTGTTCGAATTTTTCCTCGTCGGACAAGTAAAAACTAAAAACTTATTATGTCATGAAAATATATTTTATATATTTTAAATATAATATTTGTATATATTATATATTATTATTTATGTATTGTATATCAATAATCCTAATTTTGAATAAGTCTGTCAGTAATTCTAATTTTGAATCAATCTGTCAATAATTCCAATTTTGAATTAGTCTATCAATAATTCTGATTTTTAACGAGTCTATTAATAATTCTAATTTTGAATTAGTCTATTGATAATTCTAATTTAGAATTAGTATATCAATAATTCTAATTTAGACTCAGTCTATCAATAATTCTAATTTAGAATCAGTCTACCAATATTTCGAATTTGGAATCAATCTATCAATAATTCTAATTTAGAATTAGTCTATCAATAATTCTAATTTAGAATCAGTCTATCAATAATTCTAATTTAGAAGCAGCCTATCAATAATTCTAATTTAGAATCAGTTTATCAATAATTCTAATTTAGAATCAGCCTATGATTAATTCTAATTTTGAATCAGTCTATCATTGTCCCACCTCGTCGGAAAAATAAAAACTAAAAACCGATTATGTTATGAAAATGTATTCTACATATTTTAAATATAATATTTGTATATATTATATGTATTATCTATTATTATTTATGTATTATATATTACACATATATTACAGCATTAAAATTAAAAAAACGATCCAACAATCCCCCGAAGCACAGCGAATCGCAGTCAAGTTTCGAATCGCGGTCAGTTTTTTGGTGGAACGTAGCACCGGGGCGCCGGTCTCGGATAGTCGAAAAAAAAATAAACACTATAATCTCTGTTAATTTGTGTCGAGCATTGCGAAATCGGCCGTTTTCAGAGGCAACGAGAATGTGCGAGCCCGGTTACCGGTCTGGAAATTACCTAAGAACGTGGCTAAGGTAAATTGCCCGCCATAAGGAAGGCCAATTACCCACTTCGCACAATACGACCATAACTGCTGCAGGCTTCGTTCTTCCTTTTTTTCACTATCAAATTCACTTCCACGGTGCCATGCAAAATCGTCGTCGTCCGAACTGGTCGCGCGAAAGGAAAGCGGACGATGAATTTAGAGGTGGTTTAGAAACGATTATGTTTCCATGCGGGGCACTGGTTGTCACGGTTCTAATTGATCTGTCAGTAATTCTGATTTGGAATCGGTCTATTGATAATTCTAATTTAGAATCAGTCTATCAATAATTCTAATTTCGAATTCGTCTATCAATAAATCTAATTTAGAATCGGTCTATCAATAATTCTAATTTAGAATCGGTCTATCAATAATTCTAATTTATAATCAGTCTATCAATAATTCTAATTTATAATCAGTCTATCAATAATTATAATTTTGAATCAGTCTATCATTGCCCCGATTTTATTTCTATTCGCGATAACTCATAAACTGATTAAATAATTATCACATAAAAATTCTAGTAGATTAGAAATAGCAATTAATTAAAGCCAGTAGTTATATCAAAGTTCTCTAATTATTACACCACGGTGTTTGTGCCCCTATGACAGGAATGAATGGCGGAGAAGTAGGGCGACCAATTAAAATAATTCGGCCAATTAAAATAATTAACTCAAAGAAATAGTTGCCTACGCAGTCGCAGTGTCGTGCCAATCATGCAAACGGTTTTTCTCTTCGGTCAAATTCCACGGTACAGTAATTATGCATAAAGAGCAGTCATAAGTCATTATCAATATTAATTGATATGGTCAGTGATGTAAATGACAGGTATAGCGATCGCGATAGGATAGCGATTCGCTTCGATTTCTTTCGTTCGAGATCGTGCGTCCATCCAGGCCTGTCCACGGAAACGATTAATAGCGTGGCAAAACGGAGCTGTTACCGTGGCTAACTATGTCGGCACAATTATGTCGTCTGGCTCGACGCCGCAAAATAATACCGAAGCGTCTAGGAAAAGAAATCGGATCATCTTCTGAAATTTCTGTGAAAGCAGGCCGCCTCTCGCTCCGTGCAACTTTTTTTCTAATTGTTCGTCCGGCAACGTGTATTAATCTGTCCGCTGTTTGATTCGTTGAAAGTTGCTGAGTTTACTCATTCGTTTCAATTGTTGTTAATTGTAGCCAGTTGAGAATGTTGCAAAAGTATTTTTATAATTAATATAATTAATGGAAGAATGAAAGATTAAAAATAAAAATATCAGGTAAATGCAACAGTATTGCAAATTTAATTGCTGTTTATTCGAATCGCTATTAAAAAACCGGAAAATCGTTGTATAATTTTTTTAAAACGAGTTTAGCAACAATGTTGCAACTTTAATTGCTACTTATTCCAATAATTATTAAAAAAGAGGAAAATTTTTGTACAATTTCTTAAAATTAACTAGGGTAAATTTAATTTTGCACTGGGATTTACAGTTTATCAACAATATTGCAAACTTTAATTGCTACTTATTCCAATAATTATTAAAAAAGAGGCAAATCTTGAAACAATTTTTGAAATGAACAACGACAAATTTAATTTTGCACAGAGATTTACAGTTTAGCAACAATGTTGCAACTTTAGTTGCTACTTATTCCAATAATTATTAAAAAAAGGAGTTAAATCTTTGTAGAATTTTTTTTTAAATCAACGAGGACAAATTTAATTTGATTTTTCACTGCACGGACAGTATTCGAGGCAGCCATAATCTCTTCGAAATTTGGACCGAACGGCTATCACAGTATAAAAATAATTTCTCACTTACGGAACCATTTCGATAACCTCGCGTGATGCAACATCTTCGTCGGAAGCTGCCTCGATTCGAATACTTGAATTGTAACGCGATGCCGCGGTGTCTTGGAACAACGTTCGATGAAAACGACAACTGATCCCGTAGGCGGACGTTTTTCGTCGGTGACCGTCCGTGCACTGAACGCAGCGGATGAACTTGTTGTGAATCCATCACTTTTCTGTTTCTTTTTCCTCGAACGAGTCTGAAATCGCTGGGGTGATAACCAGTTGCCAGTAGGAGCTGATAAGCAGTTGGGATTGCTCGCCTAAAGACTGGCCTATCGGCCAGAGTGCTGGATGGAGATATCGTGGAGCGAGGCGGTTAACTCCGCCGCTGCTGGATCATCGACGGTTATAGTGAGTTTTTCGGTACGGAGGATGTATTGGGAAATTCAACGTATGCCTGAATATACAGGGTTAAATTATGGTACCTCCGGGAAATGAGGGATTCCTGAGGTCATTTGAAGCAACTTTTTCCTTTGCGAAAATTTTCTACGAAGCTTCGTTCATGAGTTATTAGCGAAAAACACTGACCAATGAGAGGCGCGCTCGGCTGGCGCGGAGCCCGGTTCCGCCCATTGGCTTGGCCGCCGCGCGCCAAGCGAGCGCGCCTCTCATTGGTTAGTGTTTATCGCTAATAACGCGTGAACGAAGCCTCGTAGAACATTTTGGCAAAGGAAAAAGTTGCTTCAAATGACTTGTAATTTTGAGATACCCTGTATATTAATATAAATTACTACATAATATCAATTCGGTAGAAGCTTACATAACTAAGAATAAGACTGCATACTGTCATACGTATAGTACTAAATATTATATATTACCGTATATTATCAGAATGTAATTGTACATATTATCGTTATGTTTTTTATGACATTAAAAATTGATTGCCCCGACAGGAAAACTGTCAAGTATGTTATATACGCCGTTCTATTGAATGATATGTACATTTAGAATCCACGAGCCTGACACGCGCTGATTGACATAACTGCAGCTATTCTAATCTTCGGACTTCTTTGGCCATGTTTCGTCTTCGTTACGAAAGGTTTCTCCGCAGTTCAATTTGTTTACATCTGAAGACAGCTTATCTGTCCGTGACGATATTGTTGACATAGTTCCCAATAGGATCGAGTAACCAGATAACCAGAATTTTCGGGGGCTATGTACAGGGTGTGCGATTTGACCGTGCCACGGAAATTATACGCGTCGACTAATCGCTACAAAGAACACTTCAGCTTGAAATTATTTTATATGGAGCAGAACGTAATTATTAAAATATTACTTATTTTTGATAGTTCGGGCGTTATTTTTTAATTATTAAATGTGAAGATGCTTGTTGCGTTACGAAACTGATTGTTGTACAAAGTTTGTTATAATAGAAAATTATGTAATCGTACTACGAGATGAATTGCACTGCGCAGATAACTGTGCTGGAAGACTAATTGTAGTGCAAAATTTATTAAATTGTAATGCAAAGAGAATTGCACTGCAAAGCTAATTGGGCTGGAAAAGTTATTGTATTACAAGGCTAATTGTATCACAAAGCTAATTGTATCTCAAAATTTATTATACTACAAAACTATATAATTGTAATGCAAAGAGAATTGCACTGCAAAGCTAATTGTACCGGAAAAGTTATTGTATTACAAAGCTAATTGTATCTCAAAACTAATTGCATCACAAACCAAATTGCATCACAAAGCTAATTGTATCATAAAGCTAATTGCGTCCCGAAACTGATTGCATCACAATTATAATTGTATCACAAAGCTAATAGCAGTAGAAAATTCATTATATTATAAAATTGTGTGATGGCAATACAAAGTGAATTGCACTGCAAAGCTAATTGTACTGGACAATTCATTGTATCGCAAATACGATTGTATCACAAACTAATTGTGTCACAAAACTAATTGCATCATAAGGTTAATTGTATCTCAAAATTCATTATATTACAAAACTATGTAACAGTAATACTAAGTGAATTGCAGTGAAAATCTAATTGTACTAGAAAATTCATTGTATCACAAAACTAATTGCATCACAAAGCTAATTACATCACAAAGCAGATCACAATACTAATTCTATCACAAAACTAATTATAGTATAAAATTCATTGCCCTACAAAACGATATAATCATACTAAAAATCAAATTCCACTAAACTTTACGCTTTAACTTACGAATCAATTTTCGACGAATAATCAACAAACAAATTCAATTGTCACAACTATGCTGATCCTAGAAAAAAAGAACTAAGTTAGAACAGTTCCCCGTGCCAGAGAAACCCGAAAATAATCACACCGAACGCGCGCGCGCGAGACAATAATTCAGCGGGCGTCTATGATCTCAAATGCACGATTTCTAAGCAATTCATGCCCTGAGCATAATTCATACCGGCGAAATTCAAACGTCCCAGTCGACGAATAAATCCCCGCGAAAAACCGGCTATTATTTTTCTTCTCCTAAAAAGGCCCCGTAGATCATTCTCGGCACGTGGGATCGAGAGATTACTGAATGCCATAATTCATATTCCAGAGTGAAGCCGATGCGCCGGAACCGTCGCGGGCCCCGAGAGTCATCAAGGTCACCTTGATACCGACCACGGAATGCGGTTCAATTTTCACCGTCACGACGCGTTGTTACATCTGTCGGACATGAAGCGGACGTCGATGACCCGTTGTGTGGCGTGACCCCCCACCGTAACCATAAATACTATCATGTTTATGTAGTTCGGCGGACGGAGGCAGATCGTCAACGAAACCGGCCTCTAACCAGGCCCCAAGGTCGCCCAGCGGTCGACGCACCAAACATTAGAAGATCTCGCTCGGTCGAGTTGGTTTTTTGTCGCGACATTTTTATGCATCCGCGCCGTTCTTATAGTCGCGCGACAATGAGTTGCGGTTGTCGATCCGCCGCTGTGAAATCTGCACGGTTATTTTCAAAGTCAGTCAGGAGATACCACTTTATCGTAATAAATCGTGTCCAGTAGATTAAGTGTGCGATCAGAGTGTTCTTTTTTCAATTCAGGCAAAGGTGAAGTACGTAGTTTACTTCAGTTAACATGCTTTCCATTTTTGTTGCACGGCTAATCTATATCTTATCGGGGGATGAGGAAACTCTGTGACCAGTGTACTTCCATTTGGTGGCGGCTGTTTACAAGCATATTCCAGGGAGAATTGATTTTGACGGAATCTTGAAAATAAAATTCTAAGTTGAAAGTTTAACGGACGCCCCCTTTGACCTCGTTGGTGGAAACGGTGTCGAATTATAATTTCTGCAGGCGACCCTTGACCGTTCTGGTAAAAACAACCGCGAAACGAAATTTCATGCGAGCAGGGTTAGGTCAAGGTTAGGTTAAATGATATCTTTTGATCTCTCTGGTATGATACGATGATATATCAAAATTGTGAGAGATGTCTTTTCACCGCGTTTATAGAAAATAGCGATAAAATTATAAGTGGGCAGAGTTGGGTCAGGGTTAGGTCAGGATTAAGTTAAGTGGTGTCGTTTGATCTCTTTGATAGAAATAGTGACAAATTAAAATTGTGGGAAGTGTCTTCTCACTCTATTAATAAAAATAGCGTCGAAATAAAATTATAATTTGGCGGAGTTAGGTCAAGGTTAGGTCTGGGTTAGGTCAAGAGATACCTTTTGATCTCTCTGATAGAAATAGCGACAAATTAAAATTGTTTGACCGTCGACCACATTAGCATCGATAGCGTCAAATTAATAAAATTTTTTATTTAAATTATAATTTCAGAAGGTGTCCTTTGACCCCATTAATGCCGAATTATAATTCCAGGAGGTGTCGCTTGAACCATTTGATAAAATTACCGCCAAATCAAAATTATAAAATATATCTTCGCGCGCGCCACTTTCTGCCGAAATAGCATCAAATTAAAATAGTAAAAGATATCTTCCCCACCTTCTGCAGAAATAGCCTGAAATAAAAATGGTAAAATTTCAACTGAATGAACCTTTAATTGAATTAGTGTTGGAAGAGGTATACAATCAACCGTAATAAAGATTACGACGCACGGTAGTCGGACGAGCATCGAAAGTATTAAATTTCACGGTAATGTGTGCGTATTCCGTATACTTCAACGAGTATGCACACGTTATGCTACAGTTTCCGACCCCCACCTCTTGATTACCGGTCGCGTTACCACAACCCCGTCGGCATGCGTCAACGACCGAGCCAATTGAAGGTCGTTTAGGTGATTCGCCGGTCATCGGATCGGTTTCGTTTTATTGAAAGGGTCCGGCGCGAGCGACTTGTAGATTCTCCCGCAATCGAGATAACTGTCAATGGCGAACATTTTTTACAGTCCTTGACGTCACTCTGCTCGTTCGACCACTTCGAGCGGATTATCGTCTCCGTCATGACACTATAACTTGGGCTGGAAATGCAAACGCTGTTTTATGAAATAGGGGTTGTCATTCTTGCGAATACTGCGTTCAGCTCTGCTGATTGGAGATATAGAACGACGGAGATGGAAACACGGCGCTTAAAGTGCTAAATAGCATTCGAAATAATAGGCTAATTAATTATTAATTTTATCTCGACGATAATGCGAGAAACGCGACGTTGTTTAATTATAGGTAGAAGAAATTCGATTTTACTTTCTTAGAAAAATGATAGACATTTGTTTTAGTAATTGTTTGTTTGCTTTTTAGTAATTAATATTTAGAAATATTTAGTATTTATATTTGGTAATATTTGGCAATATTTAGTATTCGTATTTAGTATAAATATTTATTATTCGTANTATTATAAATATTTAGAAATATTTAGTAATATTTATTATAAATATTTAGAAATATTTAGTAATATTTATTATAAATATTTAGAAATATTTAGTAATATTTATTATAAATATTTAGAAATATTTAGTAATATTTATTATAAATATTTAGAAATATTTAGTAATATTTATTATAAATATTTAGAAATATTTAGTAATATTTATTATAAATATTTAGAAATATTTAGTAATATTTATTATAAATATTTAGAAATATTTAGTAATATTTATTATAAATATTTAGAAATATTTAGTAATATTTATTATAAATATTTAGAAATATTTAGTAATATTTATTATAAATATTTAGAAATATTTAGTAATATTTATTATAAATATTTAGAAATATTTAGTAATATTTATTATAAATATTTAGAAATATTTAGTAATATTTATTATAAATATTTAGAAATATTTAGTAATATTTATTATAAATATTTAGAAATATTTAGTAATATTTATTATAAATATTTAGAAATATTTAGTAATATTTATTATAAATATTTAGAAATATTTAGTAATATTTATTATAAATATTTAGAAATATTTAGTAATATTTATTATAAATATTTAGAAATATTTAGTAATATTTATTATAAATATTTAGAAATATTTAGTAATATTTATTATAAATATTTAGAAATATTTAGTAATATTTATTATAAATATTTAGAAATATTTAGTAATATTTATTATAAATATTTAGAAATATTTAGTAATATTTATTATAAATATTTAGAAATATTTAGTAATATTTATTATAAATATTTAGAAATATTTAGTAATATTTATTATAAATATTTAGAAATATTTAGTAATATTTATTATAAATATTTAGAAATATTTAGTAATATTTATTATAAATATTTAGAAATATTTAGTAATATTTATTATAAATATTTAGAAATATTTAGTAATATTTATTATAAATATTTAGAAATATTTAGTAATATTTATTATAAATATTTAGAAATATTTAGTAATATTTATTATAAATATTTAGAAATATTTAGTAATATTTATTATAAATATTTAGAAATATTTAGTAATATTTATTATAAATATTTAGAAATATTTAGTAATATTTATTATAAATATTTAGAAATATTTAGTAATATTTATTATAAATATTTAGAAATATTTAGTAATATTTATTATAAATATTTAGAAATATTTAGTAATATTTATTATAAATATTTAGAAATATTTAGTAATATTTATTATAAATATTTAGAAATATTTAGTAATATTTATTATAAATATTTAGAAATATTTAGTAATATTTATTATAAATATTTAGAAATATTTAGTAATATTTATTATAAATATTTAGAAATATTTAGTAATATTTATTATAAATATTTAGAAATATTTAGTAATATTTATTATAAATATTTAGAAATATTTAGTAATATTTATTATAAATATTTAGAAATATTTAGTAATATTTATTATAAATATTTAGAAATATTTAGTAATATTTATTATAAATATTTAGAAATATTTAGTAATATTTATTATAAATATTTAGAAATATTTAGTAATATTTATTATAAATATTTAGAAATATTTAGTAATATTTATTATAAATATTTAGAAATATTTAGTAATATTTATTATAAATATTTAGAAATATTTAGTAATATTTATTATAAATATTTAGAAATATTTAGTAATATTTATTATAAATATTTAGAAATATTTAGTAATATTTATTATAAATATTTAGAAATATTTAGTAATATTTATTATAAATATTTAGAAATATTTAGTAATATTTATTATAAATATTTAGAAATATTTAGTAATATTTATTATAAATATTTAGAAATATTTAGTAATATTTATTATAAATATTTAGAAATATTTAGTAATATTTATTATAAATATTTAGAAATATTTAGTAATATTTATTATAAATATTTAGAAATATTTAGTAATATTTATTATAAATATTTAGAAATATTTAGTAATATTTATTATAAATATTTAGAAATATTTAGTAATATTTATTATAAATATTTAGAAATATTTAGTAATATTTATTATAAATATTTAGAAATATTTAGTAATATTTATTATAAATATTTAGAAATATTTAGTAATATTTATTATAAATATTTAGAAATATTTAGTAATATTTATTATAAATATTTAGAAATATTTAGTAATATTTATTATAAATATTTAGAAATATTTAGTAATATTTATTATAAATATTTAGAAATATTTAGTAATATTTATTATAAATATTTAGAAATATTTAGTAATATTTATTATAAATATTTAGAAATATTTAGTAATATTTATTATAAATATTTAGAAATATTTAGTAATATTTATTATAAATATTTAGAAATATTTAGTAATATTTATTATAAATATTTAGAAATATTTAGTAGAAATATTTAGAAATATTTAGTACAAATATTTAGTAATATTTAGTATAAATAAATAATAATATTTAGTACAAATATTTAGTAATATTTAGTATATATGTTTAACGATATTTGGTATCAATATTTAATAATATCTACTCCATAACCAGCATCTATTTGATTTGAAAAAAAATGTAAAAAAGAAATATTAAGCACTGCTACAATGCTTGAAAAAACTCAATATAAATAACCAAATGGTCTTCAAGTTCAAAATAAAGTGCTGCAATTTGCTTCTACTTTCACGTAGAAACGTGACGAAAGGAAATATTAAACATTGTTGCACACACTAAAATAAAATAAAAAACATTTATCTCGTTTCCGATTTTCTTCTACTTTCTCCTAAAAAAAAATAACAGGCAGCAAATATCGAACATTGTTGCACGCCTAATGCATGACCGAGATCATTGACTCTGCGCTGGCCGAGAGTGTGACAAAATCAAAATAAAGTAAATGGACCATTGGCCATGTAAACATTCACTTTCTACGGTGTCCCAATAAGTCAAGCCAAGAAACGTCGAACGCTATAATAACACCTTCGGACAGCGTTGATTGCCGCGCGATTATCAGGCACCGACGCGGCCCTGCGAGATTAGTGCAGCAATATAGGCGATTAAATTTTCCGAAACATCTGATTTATTTCTGTTTCACGGCACCGACTGGTTCGCGGCAACTCCCGTTCCGTCGGCCGCACTGCTCGATCATTCAACGTCGCTGTCTCGTGGCCGACGGAAAAATACGCCCGGCATTCTTGTCGCAGTTACCGAACCGCGTCGCCCAGGCACGAGGATAATAGTTCGGCGTTTCGGGAAGGGGGGCGTGGCCTGTAGCGCGTCCGAACGTGTCGCGGCAAGCGTAGCTGTTCAATACCGATTGTAAACAAACTGGGGACAAGAAAGGGTCGCTTCGTTGCCAGGGCCTAATGGCTTTAGTCATCGGCCAAGCGGACCGTCGCCGACGCCTTTTCCATCCTAAGAAACAGAAACGCACCTTTTACGTCCTAATAACACACTGAATCATCCGTGGAATTTGTTTCGTACGTCACGCTTTTATCGCCGGAGCGTCGAACGTCGGTCGAACTACATTTTACTGACCCATAAAATGATTATACGAGATTCTTACTGAATTCTTCTCGTTTAATTCGCATACTAAATTAGCCTTTCTAATTTTTAATTGAGGATGTTATTTTTAAGTACACAGAGCGCACACTTTGCAGCAATTATTCGGCTGTGAGATCTTCAGGCCTGCCAGAACAACGGTGCACTAAAAACTAACATAAAAATAGTTTTATTGAAAGAAAAAAATGCTTCAATATTGAAGGGAAAACGACTGTAATTTTTATTCAGGTTAGAATTTTCAAAAGGGTTGAAGATATTTTTCTTAATAAATAAAGAAAGAAGAAAGTAATTGATTAGACGCTTGAACAATGATTATATTGTTTTATCGTTATCTGTAGCGTTGATTTAATTGGTAAAAAAATCCAATTAGCATTGTTAAGTGTTTCACCGCGTTGAAAATAAAACGACAGCCGAGACGCGGTCGGAAGCCAACGTGAAAATAATTCAGGCCTAACGTAGACCTAACCTGTCACACCCTCACCTAATCCAGACTTAACTTAGACCTAAACCAGACCTAACTTAGACCTAACCTAGACCTATCTTAGACCAATTTCGATAAAAATGTAAATTTAATGTCAAATTCTATGAACAGAACAATTCTGCAGAAAATTTCCAATTCACTTGCAAACAAAAATCGTGAAAACTCAGCAGTTTGGAACGCGACGGCGACGGTCCGCTCGCGGATAAAAATCTCGGCAAGAAAGCCGACCAGCTCGACGCAATCGTGCGAGCTCGATCGGAACGAGAATCGTACCCCTCGCGCGGCCGAGTATCGATTATCGAGCCGGCTGGGTGCTCCGGTGTTTTTCCCGTCGCATTCGTCCAGTTTTTCTCCCGTTTAATCGGCGACCTTTTTGCCAGCCGCTATTAGACGTAACTCTCCGGCTGTTCTCGTTTCCGTTTCCCTCGAGCCGGGAGACGGACGCGAACGACTTGTATTTTTTTCTTCTCTCTCTCTCTCCCCCCGCCGGATTGTTGTTCTTGGTGGGCGGCCCTAAGCGACAGCGTTCGACCTCTGTTCCACGTTCGCGTCCTCCGCGTCGCGTCGGCGCTGCTTCATCTTCTTCCTGTCCTCGGCGGTTAACTTCACGCCTGTTCGCAACGAGACGCAATTTACTTCGACGTGAAGTAAGCAAGCGAACCGGTTCGATATTAATTTAGGTTGCAAGTCATCCATCTAGGCGAACCGAGCAATTAGCGACACGGAGAAAAACAAACGGCTCGCGATCTTGTACCGATAGCGTGCCGTTAACAAAGCGGCCGTTTTCGAATAAATGAAAATAATAACGCGATTAACGCGACGGCACGTTGAAGGAGAAACGTGAAACACCGGGTTGCCCTTGCGTGGCTTTTTCTTGGTAAATCGATGTAATTATTCAACGGTGCGCCGATTGGAAATGCATCGAGAAATCCGATAAAATTGAATAAATTATTTTATGGAAATTATACGGGAAATTATTTAATTTATTTGATCAAATAAAGGACGCACGATTTAACCGTGCCGATTGGAATTTTGCTTGCTCGCGTTTGTGGAAAAAAATAAAGGAAAAAGTAGAAAATAACAAAAATATATATAATTATATACTTCTTCCTATATTTTTATTATTGTTATATATATTTATTATATTATATTATATTATATAATAATTATTATATAATTATATATATATATATATATTTCCTATATTTTTATATTATATACATAATTATTATTAATCATTAAACGTTTCCGATGATGTGAACTAATTTTGTTCAATTTTAAACGTGTCACAAGAAGAAATCAACTTTTATTTTTAGTAAATAATTCAAAAAGTAAGGAAAGCAAATAATTGAAATAATTGTGCTATTATTGAACAATACAAAATTTATAAGAAAAAATGTCCAATTGCAATTTAAAGCTGTGGAAGAATAAGAGTGACGAACTCGATATACTATAATTATTGAAAATAATGGTAAAAATTTCTGAGCTCTTGTTATCTGCGATAAATAATAAATAATAAATACTACTGCAATAAATAATAAATAATAAATACTACTGCGATACATAATAAATAATAAATAATACTGCGATAAATAATAAATAATAAATATCTACGCGGATATCTGCAATGTAGCAGAGATACTTTACCTGCCAAGCAGATCTGGCTGTCGAACGAGCAAATGCTTCTGCATTCCTCTTCCTCGGAGTCCTCCACGTCTACCCTCTGCCCCCTAATTTTGCTCTTTCGCCTCGTTGCACCAGCCTTGCTGCTCTCGCTCCTCTTCGTTCCAATGGTATCCCTCGATTTCCCATCAGCCCTATGATTCGCCATTACTTCTTCATCTTCTTCTTCTTCTTCCTTTTTCGTTTTCGTCGCGTCCTTTTTCCCCCGCTCACGTCGTTTCGGCGGCTTTTGCGCCAGAAGCATCACTTTGGAGGAATGTTAAGGAACAATCAATGAACCATAAATTCAGTACACGTTAGTGTGTTCAATTAATTAAAATGTTAAATGTAAATGTAAAATGTTAAATGCCAAAATCAATTAATTATTTTGTTGTATTGAAATAAAACTCTGTATTATATTTATTGCTATTCAATAAATATAATAACCAAAATTAACTGAAAACTAACTTAGATCTATCCCAGACCTAACCCAGACCTAACCTAGATCTAACTAAAAACTAAGCTAGATTTAATGCAGACTTAACGTAAGCTTATGAAGTCTGAACGCCTTGAATGTCGTAAGTGCAGGCCAGACTTAACTGAAAACTAACTTAGACCTAACCTATACCTAACAGAAGATCTAACGCAGACCTAACCTGAGCTTATAAAGTCTGAGCGCCATGAATGTTGTAAGTTTAGAGAGCCAGACCTGACCGAAAATTAAGCTAGATCTAACTCAGACCTAACGGAAAACTAAGCTAGACCTAACCCAGACCTAACCCAGACTCAACCCTGACTTAACCAAAGCTTATAAAGTTTGAACGCATCGAAAGTTGCAAATATAGAGCAAGACTTAGCCAAAAACTAGCTTAGATCTAACTCAGACCTAACCGAGAGTTAACCTAGATCTAATACGGATCTAACCTGAGCTTACAAAGTTTAAACTCCTTGAACGTCGTAAATATAGAGCCAGACCTAGCCGAAAACTAACTTAGACCTAACTCAGACCTAACCCAAAACTAAGTTAGATCTAACGTAAACCTATTCTAAGCTTATAAAGTTAGAACGCCTCGAAAGTCGTAAATATAGAGCAAGACTTAGCCAAAAACTAACTTAGACCTAACCCAGACCTAACATAGAACTAACCTAGATCTAAACGCCTTGAACGTCGTAATTCTAGATTATGTCTGCCTTAGATCCTCGTTTTTGTACTATTTCTGCAGTTTTCCATTTTATTACAATTATTGAAAGAAGAAAAATATTTTCAACCGATGGTAAAAACGTAATACGAAGACGTTTAAGAAGTGAACTAATTCGTCTTTATCGAGGACATTACTTGCACTCTCCACCATTTTCGAGACGCTGTCCGGCACGGTGGGCCACAGACAGCCAATGTGCCGCGGGTTAAGCAGAATCTCCCTGGTCTCCATTGTCGGCTTGATCCTTTTCATCAGCAGCTCCGCCATTGAGATTTCCTTCAGCACGTACTGCACCTTGTTCTTCGGCCTCTTCCTCCGGGCCCTCTTTTTCTTGCACTTCCGATTGCCGGCCTTCGCCGCCTGCGGCTGATTATCGTCTTCATCCTCGTCGAGGCAATCGAGCAGCTTCTTCTCCTTCGGCTTCTTGTCCTTCTTCGTCTTCTTCTTCTCCTCCTTCTTCGACTTCCTGTCCTGCTCCCTTTTCCACTGCAAGTACTTCCGACACTCCGGCCGATGTCTCATCCTGGTTGCGCGTCGACGGAATAATCGATCTAGCCTAATCTTCCGGCATCGTCCTTCCTTCTTTAAATCGCGGTACCATCGGTGCTGCAGCTTTCCGGTTCTATTGCTGTCATAGTGGATGGATCGATTTCTCAGTTTTTTACGGGTGATTCATGTTTGAGATGTTTCGGCTTCGGTCAAGCCGCCATGTTGCCTGAACTTCGACGAGTCTTCTCGACGGATCTTTTGTTTCTCGCACGGAGATCCGTTCGCAGTTTTCACGCCGCGACAACTGTCATTCTCGAAACGCGCGCGCCCGTCGAAATTGCAAGTAATTAAATCGAAAGTTAAATTTAAAAAATGTGCGGCAACGTGCTCTTCGAGTTCCAGGAAAGCGGCGCGCGCAACGTCCACGGACTACGGAATTAAAATCCGCGGACGACGGTAATGTGCTCGCGGTGGTAATTTTGGTTATGGTTGTTTACTGAAAACGTGAACAATGCTTCGTGAAATAGTCAATTAATATAATGAAATAGTTAATAATATTCGAATGGCAAATTGCAAATAGATGTTTTATTTTGTGCATGTGTTTTTGGAAAATAAAATATTTTGTTTGCTCGGAAGAATGTATTTTTGAAAATAAAATATTTTATTTGTCTGAAAGAATGTATATTTTTGAAAATAAAATATTTTATACGTTCGAAAGAATGTATTTTTATAAATAAAATATTTTATTTGTTCGAAAAAGAATGTGCTTTTATAAATAAAATATTTTATTTGCTCGAAAGACAATGCACTTTTATGAGTAAAATATTTCATCTGTCCGAAAGAAAGTACTTTCAAAAATAAAATATTTTATTTGCTTGAAAAAGAATGTGTTTTTATAAATAAAATATTTTATTCTTTCGAACAGCATCAGATAAACAAGATGGACAGAGCGAAGTCGGTGGTGGAGCTCGACAGGGAGAAGAAGGTGGAGTACAAGACGAAACTGACCTTGCTCGCGGAGTGCGACGAGATCGTGTCCGAGGAGACCGTGAACGCTGTCGGTAGAGTGACCGAGAACGTGCGCGCCGCGGACGACAATGCGCCCAGCAGCGACGAGCTCGACGAAGGTCTCGAAGAGCAGTACAAGGACCTGAACTTCTTTCTGGATCTGCCAGACGACACTTACTCGTTGACCGCGATCAGGCCGGAGCTGCCTACCTGCGTTCGATACGGGGTCCGCGCCGGACTAACTCACATCAACATGCCCAAATTCTCGCCTTTGTCCAGGGGACACCAGGTATATAAAGGGTCCGACTTGGCAGTTAATAGAAGATTTGAAAATGGTTTCACAAATCTGTAAAAGGCAATAATGATTAGAATGGTTTTGAAAGAATTGTTTTCGGTAATTGAAAATACAGTTGGCTCAATTTTCCTTTTCCTCAATTCAATTTTATTTGTTGCCATCTTCCTTCGTCTGGAGGCAAAACGAATTTTATAGCAGAATTTTTCTCGCATTTTCTATCATCTTGGGAACGAAATTGGACAATTTGGGGAGAGGAGACACGATTTAGGTTAAAAACTGAGGTGCAAGGGTGGAATAATAGTGTCACCTCTTTCCTAAGTGTCCATTTTCGTTTGCAAGTCGAAGGATAATTGGGGAGAATTTACTGTAGTACCGGAAGTTTGTTAAAGTAAATTCTCTGGAATTGTCCTGGACTAAACTGGACAGTTAGGGATGAGGAGACACAATTATTGGAGTCTTTCGGCTCGCAGCCTCCCAAATTGTCCATTTTTGTTTATAGGCTGAGGGAGAATTTCAGATAATTTACTGTACAGTAAAATCTCCCTAATTCACGCTTAAATTGTGCAAAAAAACTGCCAGTTAGGGAAGAGGAGACACAATTGTTGAAGTCTCCCGGCTTGCGACTTCCCAAATTGTTCATTTTTGTTTACAAACCGAGGTTATCTATTGTACAGTAAAGTCTCCCTAATTGACGCTCAGATTGCGCAGAAAACTAGACAGTTAGGGAAGAGGAGGTACGATTATTAGAGTTTCTAAGCTCGCGGCACCCCAAATTGTCCATTTTTGTTTGCAATCCGAGGTTATATATTATACAATAAAGTTTCCCTAAGTGACGCACAAATTGCGCACCAAACCGGACAGTTGGAGAATAGTAGATACGATTTTTACAATTTTTGATAATCTACAGCTAAAATACCAATTGGCCTCCGCTCGCTTATATTCGAATCTCGTCTTCCCAAATCGTCCACTTTTGCGCATGATCCGAGCGCCAATTACAGAGAGTTCACTCTACTTTTCCAAACAATTCGAAACGTGCGCTAAAAATCGCCAGGAATCCACGACGTATCATTTCCCAGAAATCGAAGGCGCGTTCGCCCCAAGCCCAACCTCTCGCGATCCTCCACGCTCGGCTAGATCCGCAGTTTCGCAGTTATCTCCCGATAAAACTCGGTCCCCTATAATTCCGTTGATCTCGTGCAATCCGACGTCGATCGAGGAGCGATGATCGATCGCACGGTAATCACAGGGTGGAGCTACGGCGATAGCAGCGTTCGCAACGACGACGGTGTACAAGTCTCGTTGCTGGAACGAGGCGGTGATCGACCAGATAATCGAGGACGGAGATAGCTTCTACTGCGAGTCGTACAAGGAAATCAGCACGGACGACCGTCGGCTGTTGACGATCCTGCATCTAGGTAGGACCCTCTGCGTCCAGAACAAGCTGACCGTGAACGTGACGATCGAGGACGCGGCCTACGCTGGCAAGTTCCGCTCGTCGGAGCCGACCGAGCTGCACCTTGTGAAGGCGCTGGAGCTGTTCTTCAAGCGCTACAAGGCCGGGATTCTGTGCTCCTCGGTGCTGAACATAGCGCTGTGGAAGGACACGAAGTACTTCAACATCTTCGACGGGCAGGCGCGCAAGGAGAACTGCGAGCCTGCGGCGGATGGCCTCAGCGGCACGGCGAAGCTGTTCCTGGTTAGGGACCTGATAGGCGTCCTGTTCATCATCCTGGAGAAGAGCCAGGTGGGGAACGAGCCGTTCGTCCTCTATGCCATAGCTATCAGCGGCGTGGACCATTACACGAAGCCGATAGCTGTCGTGGACACCGAGAAGATCTACGCTCACGCCGTGGAGAGGCGACCCAGCAGCTACAAGGTTCAAGACAAGTACCGAGCGGTGCTCCAGGGCTCCTATCACATCATGCACCCGGCTCTGCCGGCCCTGGTCCGCGGCAGAACCCACATGATCATCGCATTGGCCAGCCTGGTCTACTCGCGGCTGGTGAACGGCAACAAGTGGACCAGCGGGCTGGTGGACTTGATCTTCAACCAGTCGAACATATACTTCGTCGACTTGGTCCGCGTGCTGGACAAGGACCTGGCCGACCCGGAGTTTGAGTTGAAGATGGACGACGCGATGGGCGACGTGATCCTCGGTGTCTACTCGGCGAAGGTCAAGATTAGGACGAACGTGGTGCCTGGCTACGGGCAGAAGAGGGGGAAGGTCGCGTTCGACACCGGGTTTAGGGAGTTCTTCGAGTCCCAGGCGTGTGGCCTGCTCGAGATCAAGGGCGTCTACTACGCCATCTGGCGGCACGACGACACCTACTACTACATGGACCCGTACGCCTGCGACGACGAGGGCTTCAGGTCCGGCACCGCCGAGATCGACGGGTCTTACAAGCCCGGCGAGGCCGCCTGCGTCACCATGAACAGCTCCATCAACCAGGTGCTAGAGACCATCATGGAGAACACTGGGAGCAGGGACAGGGATCCGTTCATCATTCATGGCGTAAGAGTGCTTTACGTAAAGACCGGGGTGACCCCTGGCGGGCCTTTGGAGTACGTCATCTACCGGGAGAAGGGTACCAATCGCAGGCCCCAGGCCCCACCGGTAGCAGTCGCTGCTAAGTCCCTTGGCAAGATAGACGAGGTTCCGGACATGACACCGACGATCAGGCCGCAGCTGCTGAGGCTGAAGGACGCGGCGGTCCAGGTGCCGCCGTTGATGAAGGAGGCGGAGATGTACATGATGACGGACGAGGAGCCGAGGAGCTACGTGATCCTGCCGCCTGAGGAGGAGGAACCTGTGCAGGAGCTTGGTGAGGAGGAGGAGGAAGAGCTTGAGGCTGGCAGGAAGGACTGGGAGGAAATGGAGGAGGAAGAGGAGCCCGAGAAGGTGCCCGAGGAGCCACCTGTCCAGAGAGTCATCCGAGGCTACAGGAAGGTAGGGCCTTACCGGCTGGTGCTGCAGGGCTCGAAGAACTGTCTGGATGATAGCTTCGAGGTCAGATCCAGGGGCAAGCAGGGCCTGATGGCTGCGCTGGTGGCTATAGCCTACAGGTAACTTGAGGTCGCTAGCCTAACGAAGATGAATAACCTTAGTAGCAGAGTCTCACGTGTTGCTTCCTGTGTTCTAGGAAGCTGAAGGACCCTAAGCGCTGGAGGAACGTGGACGTGGACCAGCTGATAGACGTCGGAGACAAGACGTACGGCGAGGTGATCGAGTGGATCCGCAAGGGCAGCCCCGCGATGGCCGATAAGACGGAGGCTGCCGAGGGCGAGGAGGAGGAGGAGGAGCTGGAGGAGGGCGAGGAAGAGGAGGAGGAGAGGCTGCAGCCTGTTCCTAGCCACCTGGACCTGGGCATGCTGCCGGCGCGGCTGAAGTTTGGGGAGAACGACGTGATCTTCAAGTCGAAGATGGATGTGATCCGTGGGGACGCCGCGCCCCTGGCCAATCTGGCGGAGGCCCTCGAGTGCTACTTCAAGAGGCACAGCGAGCTGCTCCTGGAGAACAAGCGTCTGATCTACGCGGTCTGGAAGGACAACGAGTGCTACTTCCTCTTCAACCCGTACGGGAGCGACGCGGAGGGCTGGCGCCTTCGGGACTACCCGGCCTCCTTCGCGGTCCTGGGCAGCCTAAACGAGCTGGTCACTCTGCTCCACGGGGTCATAGAGTTCAACGAGCCCGCCTTCACCTTCCACTTCGTCTCGCTGGACTCCATCCAGCCCGGCAAGTACGCGACCGAGGTCGAGGTGATGCCGCCGGGCGACGACATCGAGATGTTCAAGACCAGCTTCCTGCCGATCACCGACGATGACATAGAGAAGATAGAGGCGGAGCTGAAGACTGTCGAGGAGGAGGAGGAAGACGCGGACGTGATCGACGTCCTCATGGGCGAAGAGGAGGAGGAGGAAGAGGAGGAGGAGGAGGAAGGCGTTAGGAGGCCTCGCGCCGGCCTCTTGGAAGAGGCTGAGAAGCCGCTGGTAGACCCTCTTTTGGAAGTCCGCGAGCAGGAGCAGCCGGACGCGCCTTACAGGCTGAACCTAGCGCTGCTCACCGCCGGGCTGAAGATCCCCGAGGAGACCGAGGAGGCGATGCAGCGGGTGCACGCGCAGAAGGCCCTGGAGAAGCTGAAGTACGAGCACCCGCCGCCGTACGTCTTGCCGTCGAACAAGACGTTGACGAAGCTGCTCGAGGCGAAGAGAGCCAAGCGGTCGGTACCTTCGCTGGTGTCCAGGTTCTCGATAGACTCGAGGCTTGACGTGAAAAAGAAGGGCGGCTTCGGCACCTCGCTGTTGTCGAGGTCCACGATCGTAATGAGCGCCGGGACTGGCATCGACTTCTCGGTACCCTCGAAGAAGATCAAACTGTGCCCGAAGAGATACCTGTTCTCGCGGCTGCTGCCCATCTGTCTGATACCGATCAGGGCCATCGACGACATGTACATCCAGCACGACGGACCAATTGAGGAGGATCAGCTCGAGGAGACGCCAAAGCGGCTGGGTATGGTCCGAGAGGACCTACCCGAGGCACCGGTCGGGATCCGCATTCGGCCGGCCTTGATTCCCCTGGGCCCCATCATCCGGACTCCGGTTCCCGAGAAGAGGCTGGGCAGCTGTCCCGAGAAGAGGAGACGCAAGTGTTTGCTGTCGAAGGCGGACGCTGGCGACGCGCTGATGGAGAAGATCCTCTGCAACACCGAGGATCTGCTGCTGGAGCTGTTCTTCCCGGACTTCAAAGTGGCTGACCAGGTCTGAACGCTTTTGAAGGTAGCTTCGTTCTCGACACCGATTCCTATTTCTGATGTTACCGGCAGCTGCAGGCGGACGACAAGGCGCCGGACAACAAGAGCAAGATTTCACAGAAAGGGTCCGTGATGTCTCAGGAGGCCAGCACAGTTCGGACCAGGCCTGCGAGCTCGAAGAAGAGGCAGAAGCATCCTGCCGGCTGGAAAGTAACGACGCCTGTCACCTTACTTCCTAGTCCTAGCCCTTCAGTCTTTTAGCGGACCTCTGCTGATCCTAGCAGAGCCCGGCTGAAGCTACTTAGACCTAGCTGATCCTAGCTGACCCTAGCCGTTCCTAATTGATTTCCCACCCGTTTACAATCCCAAGGTCACCGAGGATGGCTTCCGGATCCTGCTGGGCGACCTGTGCCTGGAGGACCGGGCATCGACCGAGGAGTGCCACTTCAAGTCCTGCTTCTTCGCGGCCTTGCTCTGCGTACTAGCGAAGATCAAGGTGGACCCGGACAAGTTCCGCGGGGACACGCTGGACCAGTTCGTCTACCTCGGCGAGAAGATCCACGGGAAGACCGGGAAGCTGCGTTTCAAGCCCTACAGATGGTTCCACCATGTGGAGATCATGCAGACGGTGTACAACGTGATCACGAAGCAGGCTGTGTACGCCGATCCGGAGAGCTCCGACAACGACGAGCTCGAGTACATCATGGACAGGTTCTTCGAGAAGAACCAGACGGGCATCATAGCGTTCGCCAATTCCGCCTACGCCTTCTGGGCAGCGAATGGGGCCTTCTATCTCTTCGACCCTTACTCCTGTGACGAGCTCGGCAACGCCGGCGAAGGCGGCTCCTGCGCTCTGATGGAGTTCTGCGAGCTGAACTCTTTGCTGGAGAAGCTCGAGGCGAACGTCGCCGAGAACACGAAGAGGCCTTTCCGGCTGTACACCGTGTGCATAGCCCACATGGAGACGAAGAGGCGGCGACGGAGACGCACGAGGAAGAAGACGTCCTGCGTGGAGAAACCTGAACTGGAAGAGCGCGTCGAAGAGCCGCCGGAGGTGCTGCTGTCCCCGGAGTCCTCGGTGTCCTTGATAGAACAACCGGACTGGGTGACCGCCGAGTCGAGGACCAGCTTCGGGTACGACGCAACGGTCCCCGGCTTTGCGCCCATCAGGTTCTGCAACGCCTCGATGCTGGAGGTCACTGTCTTGGAGAACGAGATCACTGCCCCAGTGTTGGCCCCCTTCAAGAAGGTCCCGAGGATCACGGAGGACACGGACGAGCACGAGCTGGCGAAGACCTTGGTCAGGAAGAAGGTTCCCGACAGAAGGTTCAAAGCGGGCACGATGGTCGCGACCCCGCTGGACCTCTGCGTGATGGCCTGGTCCCTGATCCACGACCCCATCACGTGGTCGGTCAGGACGGTCAGAGGACTGTTCGAGACTGTACTGGACTACTCGTTCGACAGCTTGCTGGCGGCCGAGGACTCGACGGCCGCCGAAATGACCGACGGCCTGCTGAACGAGTTCGAGATCGGCAACTACGTCTTCAGGGCGGTGTTCGTGCCTCTTCATTACGGCACCCTGTACGCCACCGAAGGCTGGAATCTGGCGATGTCCCTGCAGAAGGTCTTTGACACTCCAAGCTACACCGGCGCCATTGTGACCTGCGGCAGGGCGCACCTGGGGACCATGAAGAGGGGGGAAAACCACTTCGCCTGGTGGATCGTCGCTGGTACCCAGAGCCTAAGGATCGTCACTGCCGCGGATATAAGGGAGTTTCTGAGGCTGGTCGTCAAGGTGATCGACCAGCCTGAAGAGGAGACCTTCGTGATGCGCGTGATCACGGTGTCCTACGCGCAGAAGGTGGACCCTGATTGCAGCGACACCAGAGGGCTCCACGAGCCCGTCGTGCCGGCAGCCTCGCTGCCCGAGATTCACAGGATGCCGACGGAGCCTTACGACCTGGAGGCTATCTTCAGGCCCACTGTGCCGGACTCCAGGCCGATATTCGTCCACGGGACGGTGGCCCTGAGCAACCGGGACGCTCTGACGGAGCCGCGGGTCAAAAGGTGCTACTTCGTCGCCGTGCTGGCCGTGATGGTGCAGAGGGACATCGTGCAGAGCCCCATGCCCGACATGGTGGACAAGGTCCTGGAGGTTGCCGAGTCGGTCTACAGGGAGTTCCCGGAGCCGAAGTTCCACACGGAACACATCCTGCGCAACGTCACCATCATGAACAGGATCTTCGACCTGCGGGACTGCGCGCTACCGCTGGCCCTGCTGACGGTGAGCCCGCGGACCGGGCGGAACGATTTCTACCTCCAGGTGAGGAAGCACCTGAAGAGGTACTTCAGGACGCACGCCAGCGGCATGATCCACTTCACAAACTGCTGCTACGGCTTCTGGTACTCGAGGAGCACCAACGCCTACTACTACATAGACCCCTATCCGTGCAACGAGAGGGGCAGGAGGGTGTCCTACGGCGGCAGGGCATGCCTCGGCATCTTTCCCGGGCTGTGCCAGATGGTGAAGAACATGTGCTTCAACCAGCACGAGGACACCACTGGCTTCTTCATCCACCGCGTCCACGTGGACTCTGTCAACGTGCCTCCGTTCGACGAGTTCAAGGAAGACCCCATCTGGTTGTATCTGGACTATCACTGGAACTTCCGGCACGCACCGGACATCGTCAAGCCCAGCGCCAAGAGGAAGAGGAGGGGGGAGGATGAGGAGATGAAGGACGAGGGCAAGGTGAAGCAGTTCTGGAACAACTACGCCGTGGAGGTGTCGAACCTGATCTATTCTGCCTGGGGCACCATAGGCGCCTACGACTCCAGGTTTGGGGATCGCGGCGGCAAGAACCAGGCAGCCATTTGTGTCGCCGTCTTGGCCATGCAATACCTGAGTCACCCGTCCAGGTGGGGCCCTGCCATCCTGGACTCAGCGGTGATCTGCGGCGATTCTTATTACACCGAGAGCGTCAGGGGCGCCGCGAAGTGCGCCAAGTACTACAACCACTTCAACCTGCAGCCCTGCTTCAAGATCTTCCCGCACCTCTGGGTGATCGACTTCAGGGAGGCTGTGTGCGGCACTCTATACGGGGCGAAGAACAAGATCACGCTAGCGGCTGCTCTGAACAAGGCCTTCGAAGAGTCACCGAATATTCTGGTCGAGTGCAACAGGGTCATTCTGGCCGGCTTGGCGGCTAAAGATGGTTTTTATATGGCGGATCCTGGATGGGTTGGCCCGCCGTTGTTCGAGAGGGATCATGGCGCCATCTACGTCCTCCGATGCAGGAACATGAACTGTTTGGTCTATGCTATGGTCAAGACCCTTAATACGAATAAGAGGATGGACTTCCGGATCACGCCCGTCGCGTTCACGTTCGAACAAGAGGACTTTAACTTCGTCGATGCTAAGAGCCTGGACACCAAGAAGAAGGTCTTCCTCGAGCCGCTTAGGACTAGCCCTGGGAAGAGCTTCGATCCTGGTGCGTTCGTTGTTCTTCGTGTTATTCAGTTTCTGCGTCTTCGTCTTCGTCAACTTCTTCAGCTTCTTCAGCTTCATCAGCTTTTTCAGCTTCTTCAGCTTCATCAGCTTCTTCAGCTTTATCAGGTTCATCAGGTTCTTCAGCTTTATCAGGTTCATCAGTTTCTTCAGCATTTTTATCTTCATCTTCTTCAGCTTCTTCTTCTTCATCTTCTTCATGTTCAGCTTCATCTCTATCATTTACTTCTTCAGCTTCATCTTCTTCATCTCCATCATCTTCAGCTTCATCATCCTCATCTTTATCTTTTACTACTACAGCTTTACCTCCTTCATTTTCATCTTCATCTTAATCTTCTTCATGTTCTTCAGCTTCATCTTCTTCATCTTTCTCATCATATGCTTTCTCATCATCGTTTTCATCACGTTCATCTTCTCCGTCACGTTCTCCCTCACCACCCTCTTCACCGTATTTCACGCCGAATAACCTTCGCTCTCCTCAGGAACGCTGATCCCGGGAGCCGACACAGTGCCCGACCAAGACTCGTACTTGGTCTACCACAAGAACCTGTCTGCGGGCATCAAGCATGGCGATAAACTAGAGTACCCGGAGCTGCCGTCGGTCGAGCCGACCTTGAAGCGGGACGCCATGACAAGCGCGATGGTGAGCACCACCTGGCACTTGAACCTAGGCCAAGCGGACCCGCTGAAGAAGCCCGAACCGAAGTTCGACCCGTTGCTGATCGCCCACGACCCTGAAAAATGCGAGAAGCGGGTGGTCGGCAGTTTCGAGCCTCGAAGAACCGTTCAAATGTCGATCACCGACCTACTGGCCGCCTGCGACGATTATCCGAGGGTAGTGGACTTCAAGAGCGAGAGGACCGTTCTCGACAAGCCCGTCGAGTGTGCCAAGGCGACCAGCTTCCTCACCGAGGCCGCGCGCGACGAGTTCAACGTCGTGACCAAGGACATGCGTCGAAGCGTCTACGCCACTTACAAACATCGCCTGCCGAAGCTGAAGAGACCGCTCGCCGCGTCCATCACAGAGGAAGACGCCGACGCGAGTATAGCCGCGAGCCTAGGTGCAAGTGTAGCTGTGGATGGGGACGAAGAGATCGGCGATGTGCCTTACAATACCGACGCCACGGAGGGCACCGAGGAAGAGACCGGCACAGAAGTGGAAGCTACTACCGAAGATGATTAAGCGTGTCCGGATCGACGAGGCTAATTTTATTTTTTATCAGAAGGTCCGGTCGGTCGTTTCATCAATGTCCAATTTTTGGCGAACTCGTCGAGTCGATTTATTAAAAATTTACACGACGTTTCACTCGGTGCATTAAAACATGCTTCATGTTCGCGTTATCTTAGATCGATGCTTGAGATACGTTACCAGTCGTCGCGCATGTTGACGACAGCGTCGTGACCGTGATTGATGAAAGAAACTATCGTATCAGACGTAATTGTAGTGTTCTGATCGTTACGATGTGTTTCTTGCTTCCAGGCGTTTCTTGCGCGACGCGTGCGAACAAACTGCGCCGATTGGATCGACCGATAGCACGCTGATTGGTGCAATTACACGTCGCGAGTGAATCAGCGGAAAACCGTTAGCGCATTTTCGTTCGTTTCGCTCGGCTCGAAAGATGATCGATCGGCTGAAATCGCTTTGGCGAAACCGGATCACCGTTCGCATCGGAATACGGTGCAAAAATATTGAGAGAAAAACTTCCGCGAGAAAAAATTACACCGCGTCGAAGAAGACTCTCCCGACCGGCCGTGTGTTGACGATATTTTTTCCTCATTAATTTATGCGGCCGATTGAAACCTGGGAAGCCGAGCCGACTGCGTCGGGAAACACCGATAGCGTTTGCATAAAGAGCGCTCGGGACGATAAAACTGGCACAGGTTGATCAAATTGTAATTTATTCGACATGGAACGTACAGATTAGAAACATCGACGTTGTGGACGGCAATCAATATTAAAATTAAAACTTTACAACGAAGAAATGATACACGGGATCGTCGGGCGACACGTGACACTGGTTTCTCGTTCGATGCATATAAAACGAATATAAAACATTAGGTGGACAGCGCGATAGAAATTCGGGTAGAAACGATGTTTGTAAATGGATCCTCGAAACGCTTGTAAAATCGTATAAGCATTAAGGCGTTTACAGATTAGGTCTTAACGATCTAAGGATACAAAGTTGATGGCGACACGCATAACTAACATAAATCGTTTTTGTCGTGTTAGACAGAGAGAGAGAGAGAGAGAGAGAGAGAGAGAGAGAGAGAGAG